AAGGGAATGTCTATGGGCTAATTTGGGGATCTGTGCACTTTATGGAAGAATGTAAACCTTGCCTCTCATTTAGGAATAATCAGCAATAAATTTAGAACAGATGAACTTAATGGAACTGACTTTTTTTTTTTGCTTTACATATAAATCTATTATGATTACACACAAAATTTTGCTGCATGAATAAAAATAGCCAAGTGAGGCCAAAGAGAAAGTAATAGGACCCCTATTTACCATTAAGTAGGTAATATTCGTTACTCTTTCAACTGCTGCTATTTCCCACTAATATTCCAAAGATGGTTATAGCTCAGTACTCTACCATCGAGTAACAGCAAGGACTCAGGATCCAACAGGTCGATAACCTCAGGACTAAGCTTGAAACTGTTCTCCACTGAGAATTAGGCTGCAGGTAGTTATGATATGGCACTGGCTGTTTTACATTCTGTTCAAAAGCTGTATCTTCCTAGGGTTTTCAACATTCCTGAAACCCAAATCATATAAACGGAATTTTAAAGCAGGCTCACTCTGCAAAGATTAGAAAACTTTAGACTCTGTTATTAGTTTTATTAATTTTATAAAGAAACAGCTATTAGCCATATGGAGAAAATCTGACGTTCATTGTGCAGTTTCTAATTAATACACTTTTCAGATCCGTTTTTTGAAATAGCAACTTATTGGTGTTTGCTTCATTTCCAATTATTTGACTTACAAAAATGTACATTTGTAGATTTGAAGATTTGAAGATTCAAAATGAGAATTGAAACTCTGAATTGTAGTAATAATTGTTGGAGCCATACAACTGAAAACATAATTACTCTTTCATCTTCTTCCCTTTACTCATAGAGTTGATCCTGTAGAATTTGATGGCACCTACTAGTGGCTCACCAGTGCTCTCACCTAAGGGTGATTGGGAGTGCTGGGTGTCATGGTGACTGGGGTGTTATCTAGTGCCCAGTGCCAAAAATGGTAACATCCTGAATGCCAGGGACAGGTGCACCCAGTGGAGAATTCCATTGCCCCTTCCTCCACGAAGAAACTTGGCTAAACCTGGCAGTTTTAGAGTTCCATGTCTAATTGTTTTCCCCCAAACAAAATCACCCAAGTCAAAAAAGATGCATTTTTCAGAATCTCAGCTACACAATCTAAACGTTGTAGGTTTGTGGCATTTATCTTGAGTCTCCACTTGTGGGAATGGTTTCTTTCCCCGTAAGAACTCTGGTGGAAACTTGATGAAGATTAAGTTTACCCTCCTGTTACCCCAACGCCACAATAACTAAAGGAAGACATCACTGAGGTAGCTACAATTCTGCAAAGTGGCCAGCTTCACTTACAAGGGCCCTTTTCGTACCAATCCCAGTGTAGTACTTTCCATAAGTAGCCAATGGCAAGAGGTTGCAGGCACGTAGCCCTCTCATTTTTGATGCTGTAGGACTGCTGAAGGCTGGGTTTGGCCAGTGATTTTTAACATACAGCAGATTAGTTAGACTTTAGCACCAGCTGAAACATGCCATCTTGAACCCCATTAAAATCAAGGAATTGCAGGTGGGAGAAGGTTTGGGAGCCATCCAGAAGAACTTCTGTAACTTTCTTTTCTGAGTTTTTATTGGAGTGGTAGGAATTTTGTGAAAGGTCATTCATTCTGAGTTAAATATTGATACTTCCAATTGTGATACGCTAACCTTGTTGCAGCCTTTTGAAATTAACAGTCTCACCAAACCACGTATGTAACAGAGCATACATGTTTCTATAATCAGGTGCCTTTTACTGATTTTGAGTAAGACTGGTTTCCTGTTGAGATATTAAGTATTGCCAGAGGGAAGGATGTTCAGTGCTTTGACTGGGGCGTAGCCTGGCAGCTCTAGATGCAGCGTTTCTGTGATGAAAATGAGTGTCTACCGGGAAATCTGAGGACTAGCCACATTTCCTCTGGTTCCAACTTATTTGCATTCTATGGCCTGTGAGGCGCTTTCTGGCATGTGATTATTTACTGCAAAGTAGAGTTGCAAGCACCTACGTTAATTATTTTACATCGTGTGCAGAATAATATATCTTTTCGTGTTAGAAACAATACACTGCACATATTGCTTTTTACACCATTTTAAAATTTTGTACTAAATAATAGAAAATATTTATATTCTTTGAGTGTGAGCTTTGAATAGATGGCATTATCACTTTACTGTTTGTTTTTTTTTTGGTTTTGTTTTTGTTTTTGTTTCTTAACAAAATTTTTCCTCAATTATTCTACTGCAATGTTATTCTGAGGAAGTCATATGCCAAAATCTCGTGTAATGTTTGTATGGAAGATTAAATTTTACTCTTGTGTGGTAAGACTACTCAGTGGTCGACTTCATCGTTGGAATTTGATATTCCAGCACAAGTCCACAATGTATTCAGAAATCCAAGCTGGTGTCATAAACTTCATTTTGATGTGAACTCTGCTCTCCTTTGTTTTAAGACTCCATTTTACAATAAACATTTTGACAGTAAATCCCTTTGTGATGTGTTGCTGTGTCCTAGTATATCGCATTTTAGACTAGACTCTCGACACTCTTTGAGGTCGCATGCATGCACATGAGTGCGAGCTTTCCTCTCCTGCAAACGGGTGGAGTGTATGAATTTATAAAGGGATGGGGTTCAGTCACAGGTGGATTTTTTTCTTATCCACCAAGAGAGACAGGAAGGCTTGCAACTCTTCCTCCAGCACATGCCCTGACATGTTAACAAGGTACAGGAGACATAAAGGAGACAGCTGGAGGTCATTAACGCTCCTCCCCTGTCCTGCCAAGCCCAAGCAGTCTTCCCCTCCTGCTTTTTGCCAGCCTCTGCAGGAGCCTCCAGAGCAAGCCCCACACTGAGCCCAAGGCCTTTCCTGGCATCATCTGCAGGAGCCGTCCTCAGAGCACCAGATCGCCCTTCTCTCCTTTTGACATGAGAACCCAAGGTGTTGGTTTTGATAAGTCATTTCATTTACAGCCTTCACCCCAATCAAGAAACCTTATCTATCCATGTTGTTTAGCACAACGTTTGGGAATGGTATAAAAATCAACACACCACACACCCCTCTCCACCCTCGAAAAGCCAGCCCTGAGGCAGGGAAGTATTCTTGTAACTTAGTCTGTTGTTTCTTGAACTAATCAGGAAAGTTCCCTGCTTCACATTTGTTTCCGTGCTGGGGAAAGGAAATGACATATTTCTGCAGCTGGACGCAGCTGCCCTGCAAAGAAATAAAACATGTCATGTGTTCTCTTTGATGAAGCTCCATTTAGGTCCTCTTCCTCCCGTCCTTTTCCTTCCTGCATTATTACAGCAGGTGAGTGCATGTGGCCGCTGATTCCTACACACACCGGGTGTTTCAGAGGAGGAAAGAGAATGTGAGGGGGCTGCGGAGTGTACAGAGAGCATAGGGAGTTATGTCCTTGCAACTGTTCTATAACACTCAGGCCCTACCCACCCATAGTCACTGTAACCAGTGGGGCTTGTTAAATGCTGCCTAGCCCCAGAGCTAGCCTTGTTTCTCTTCATTCTTAGACATACACAACCTCTGGTACTCTGGTTGGGCAAATGTGCCTGCCCATCCCTCCTCTCCCCACCCCACCCCACCCCGCTGCCGGTGTTCTGCCCTGTTGCTTCTCCTAGCCTGCTCTTCTCCCTGCCCTGCAGTGCCCAGCTCAAGCCACTATGCCTTCCAGCTCCCCATCTTAGCCTATGAAAGCCTTCCTCTTCCCTGGCATACCCACAGGCACTGAGCTCTCCACTGGAGAGCTTAGCATTTCAGTAAACACATCCTTCGGTGTTCTTCCTTCAACAGACTGTTCAACAAAAATGTACCAGGTATTGTATGCCAGACACCGGGCTAGGCACTGAGTAAGCCAAGAGGAGGGTATCCTTGATCCTCCCTGTGGAATTCATACCCATTTTACCGCCCCCCCCCTCCTTCCCCCCATTTCAATGAAAAGCTCCTGGTAGTCAGAGCCATGCCTTCCCGAGCAGGGTCTGAACCTGCGAGTTCAAAATACCTGCAGGTTAAAATATTAACTCACCCACCCTCTGACTTTGACCCTGATATCAAAAATAACCAAACTCAGCTTTTTTTTTTTTTTTTCCAACTCACCCACACAAAATATTTGTAACAGATTAAAAAGCACTTGGCTACAGTTCTCTCATGAGCAGTTCGACCATCTTGAGACGTTAAGTTAGTAAAAGCTGACGGCTATAACAAGCCCTAATTCAAGTCACAGGAGACCCAGGTGATGTTCACATTTTGTAAGGAATTCTTATTTACTCTATGGCCACGGGGCACTTCCTAAAGCGAGGAGCCTTTTGGCTCTGAACATGGGGCCAGCTGAGGTCCTCTTGCAAAGTGAGCTCTCCTGTTTGCGCACCGGACAGGAGCACGTTTGGTTGGTTTCAATTGGAGCCGCTCTGCAGCCTGGGCCGCTTAGAGCAGTCTCGCTCGTCCTTCTTCATCCCTGTCCCTAATATCTGTGTGTTTTTTTAAAATATAATGCAAGCAAGACATTGAGTTAAACACTTAGACATTCTCCTGTAAGAATAATCCCGAGGTTACCAAACGGTCCCTTTGGAATTTTCATTAATAATCAAGCGATCCTCATGTTGACTGAGAATTCCGAAGAACGCTCTAGCATCTGACAAATGTCAGGCATTCCTTGACTGCCACGCCCCATTGTGGGATGTGAAAGGACTCTTGGTGTGCCAAGTGCGAAGAGAGAAAAATCTCAAGATGTGCCTGCCGGGTCTGGCCCCGGCAGCTCACAGAAAGCAGTGGGTTGTTACTGAGCGGAGGATGCACATGGTTGGCTTCTGTGGGCAAAACCCGTGGAGCCCTGAGAACTCCTCTCAGGTCAGGACACTTGTTTCCCATCCAACCTCGCCCGCAGGAGGAACCAGCCAGAGCAGCAGCCAAGAGCTGGAACAGACCAGAGGGTGACCCAAAAGGACACTGACGATATGCTTGTTCTATTTCATCCCTGTTTCCCCCGCAGCTGCTGCCTTCCTTTGAGATCAGCACGTGGACGGAAGATGACGTGGTAAGCCGCTGCTGCTATGACCTGGGCGGGTGTTTAATCAGGGTCCACAAGTTACAAACGCCTCAGGAGCTAGAAGCCGACAGGTTCCATGCTTTTCTGTTTCTTAATGCAGTAATGTTTACAGTAAGGCCTCAAGAGCAGAGCAAGTATGGCTTCACATCTTACAAGAGCGTTCCACCTCCCTATTTGCTCTGAAAGGTGTCCCAGAATAATATAGGGAATTCCAATGACTAAAGAAAAGGGCTGGGCTGGGATACCAAATGAACACACTTCAAAAAAAAAAAAAAAAAAAAAAAAAGATCTTAAATTTTCCTAAAATTACCAAGGATGGACTTGAACCACGGTGGAGAAAGATCTGGTAACAGCAGCCCTGGACTGCGATTCCTCTGAATGGGTTTCCTTCCCGCTTTAGGCCAGTTCAAAAGGGACAGGTCCAACTTTGCCATCTTTACTCTGACCTTCCCAAGGAGGAATGGACACGAGCTCTCAGACATTCTCTGCAGCTGGAGCCAGAGGAGCCCCAGGTTTTTGAGAGAAGTGGGCAGACTCGGTCAAAAGGAAGTCCTGACCCCACCCTCAGGGAGAGGCCCTGATGGAAAGTCCTACTTAGCCCTTTGTATCTGTTTCCTTAGTGAAAAAACGGGCTGGGCATTCTGGATCAGAGACCTCAGGGCCTTGGGCTGAAGGTCTCATTAAAGGAGAAAGAAGGGGAAACAGGCCTTAGCGGGCCCCGCCCCTGGAAGTGGACCAGGCGCCACAGGTACATACTCACCACCAGAAACTCTGGGGAAGGTCTGTTTACCTAGCTCACCTGGTTTCTGGGCCAAGGCATTTCCCGCCCACCTTTGTATTTGGCGAAGTAACATGCTTTCAGCATCAGCTGGCCTCTGGCTTCTACAGGGAAAGGAAACTTGGTACCAGTTGCATCTATTTCCTCCCTGAACCCTGGTGATCTAAGGTTCCTGCTAAACAGGGAAAGAGGACACAGGATCTCCTTTATTCGGGGTATGGACAGAAAATCCCTTTATCCCCAGTTGCAGCGTTGGTGCAGCGAATTTGAGAAGTTTTTTTTTTTTTTAAGGCTATTTTTAATCTTTGTCCTTGGGGTTCAGTGGTTTTCAAACCATTTAAATAAAATTCCTGGATCAAGCCGCCGCTCCCCCTCCCGAGACTTGGTGGGACTGGATCTGGCCTCCCTTCTGTCTCCCTTGACCAGGGTCATGTGAGACGCTACCAGTAAGCAGGTGCCAAGTGAAATTCAAGGACTCGGTCCAGCCTCATCCTATAAAAGAAGCTCCATGCTTTAGCTTGCCTTGGGCCACATACCTACTTCATGATCATGCCCAGAACAGAGGACAAATTCTGCCCATTTCTCTGTCCACTGCTGTGTGATCCCTGTTACTCATACAACTTCTGGCTAAACCAGTGCCCCTCAACAACCCCGGAGACACAAATGGAAAACCATTATGAGAACCTTTTTGAAAGGATTTTAAAGTATTTTTCCTCCCAGATAAGGAGGAAAACCAATATCCACCCAGTGTCCAAGACCCCCAAAGAGAGAGAAAGAGCTCCAATGTGAAAGCTTGATGTTTTTAAAATCATAAAAATAAAATTTTCTATTCTACCTTTATGGTTGAGCCAAAATTCACGGTATTTTAACCTCTTGAGAACTATGGATTTTTACTGCTAAGTCTGGCTGTGGATCATGTATGAATCTTGAAAACTCTATATGTCCTCTCTTTCGCAGTATTTTTGGGTTCAGCAGCTCGTCAGAAAAGGCAAGTGGAATAATTTACCTTCTTCATTCATGGAGTTAACTTTGCTGTGGACATGATTTCATCTAACGTTATTCTGCCCTCTAATCCCTCCCTTCAGGTGACGCTTCCGCAGAGATGAGCGTGTACGCGAGCTTGTTTAAGGAGAACAACATTACAGGAAAGCGCCTGCTTCTCCTGGAGGAAGAAGACTTGAAGGACATGGGCATTGTCTCCAAGGGGCACATCATTCACTTAAAGGTACCTCAGACGGGGGGAGCAGGCAACAAATCTTCACTGAGCATCTGAGCATGTGGTCTGTGGGCGGCTGAGGACAGATACACAGCTGCGCTGGTTGTACTGAACTGTGTCCACGCCACCTGAATATTAGCTGCTGCCCCTGAGGGACCCTACTTCCTCCTCATAAGCCAACAACAAAAGGGTTAATACCTGACCCAGCAGAGGTCACCTGGATACTCCTGATGATCTCAGGAAGTCTCTAAGAGGAGAAGATAGGTATTAATCATGCAACATCTGTAACACAACAGATGTAAGAAATGCCACAAAGAAGAGGTGAGGTTGGGATGAGGAGGGGCTTCTGTGAAGAAGTTGTGAAGGAGGTAAGAGCTGAAGAACAAGAAGGTGTTCCCCAGGTGAAGGGGTAGGAAGAGGTGTTCTGGGGGGAGAGTATGCCTGTGGCAAGGCCCGGGTGGGAGGAAGCTTGGTGTGCCAGAGGAGCCAGAAACAAGGCAGTGGGTGCCTGCAGAACTGGCGTCCCACCCAGGATAGCAGGATGCAACCTCGTTTAAGGCCAGAGAGGCTAGGTATCCATTAGGAATCCCTGAGGATGACAGAACTTGTCCATGAACTGGGAAGAACCTGAGCCACTGCAGTACCTCAGAAGATAGAAATGTGTGTGTGTTCAATTTGCAATCTTCATAATTTTTACCTGTAATAGACACCATACATGTACTTTAAACCCTCATTTTCTCAGGAAATTCTCACATTGACCCCATTAGTCTTGAACAGTTCCAAAACTAAGCCTCTATTTTTATTGTATTGTATTTTATAAAACAAACACACCAACAGATCTGGAGTTTGTTTTATTTTTTAAATATATTATATATATATATATATATATATATATATATATATATATATATATATTAATATATTTTATTGATTTTTCACAGAGAGGAAGGGAGAGGGATAGAGAGTTAGAAACATTGATGAGAGAGAATCATCGATCAGCTGCCTCTTGCACACCCCCTACCGGGGATGTGCCCGCAACCAATGTACATGCCCTTGACCGGAATCGAACCAGGGACCTTTCAGTCCTCAGGCCCACGCTCTATCCACTGAGCCAAACCGGTTTCAGCATGTGTTTGTTTGTTTTAGTTACTGAAACCAAATAAGAATTTCTGGCATCTTTGCAGCATTGCTATTAATCAGAGGTCAATTTTGAGCAAGAACTTAGAACAAAATCAAGTTTACTCCCCAAACTTCCTCAGCCCCAGGGTGGGGTGGATGGAGGGGTGGGCACAGGTTAGGAAGGAGAGAAATAGAATAAGGAAGGGAATGTAGAAAAGCAGCTTCCATCCAAATCCACATCTTCGCAAAGCCTCAACCAACATGCCAACTATTTTTCTCTTTGCCTCAATTAGAGCCCCTGACACTATCCTTTCTAGGGAAACCCCCTGTGGTCCAAAGAGAACCATCTACTTGCATGTTTTGTGGGCTCTGGATCCATGGAAGGGACATCCTTATAGCCCTCAGCAGCCCTTAAGTGAAGGCTTAGCCTCAGCCTTAATGCCTTTTCCCTCTCAATAGATGGGCAGGAAACCTCATGCATACGCATACACTTCAAAGGTTGGCAAATATTCATTTAATCTCGACCTCTGGGTGTGGGCAAGTCCATCCCCAAAAGTTATGCTGGCTTAGCTGGCCTATAGTAGGAAGGAAATATTTTTCTAGTACAGAGAAATGTCGGGGTTCCAAGACAGAAATCTGATAAAGTTTACGTTATTTGACAACTGCCCAATAAGATGATCCCACCTCCCCTTCCCCTCTGCTGGCTCTGAAAAAGGAGCACACTCCTTAAGGAGCAGTCAGGAAGAAAGAGGGGGACAAGCTGTGACACCTCACCAAAGCCCATGGTGATGGAAATATTCTCAGACTTGTCCTAGGACAGCCAGAGTGCCCTGTGCATGCCAAGTCGGTATCATGAAGGCAAGCAGTGTCCAAACCTATTGGCTATTGTTCAACAAATTCAGCAAATGCCTACTCATTGCAAGACTGGGCCTGAAAAAACACACAAAGGAGAATTCTTCCCAAAGGAATGTGTGTCCCGGAGAAGAAATAAAGCATGCACATACAACTTCTCATAATACAGGGTCTTGGCAATTTGGAGGGAAGTTACTATTACATTACCTCCTCTTGGGAGGGGCTGGGGGGGGGGGGCAGATAGAGAGGTGAAACATCAGGGAATGGGTGCCCTTGAGCTGGATCTTTAAGGAAAGACAAAATTTGGAAGGTAGATGGAAGTGGGAAAGGAAAAAACATCAGTCGAGACAGAGAGAAGAAGGAGTTAAGAGAGAAGAAGAGCAGCAGAAGAGAATCCAAATGAACAGTGTGTGTCTCCATCCGAAGGAAGGCCAGGTGCAGGGAACTCAGCATACCCAAAGCAGGGTATGGATAGCGTATGACTTCAGGCCTGGGAGCTGAGGTCTGGGGGGACTATTGGAAATTTTGAGAATTGACATGTTTAGAACTTTGCTTCTGGAAGTTATCAAGTGGGTTAAAAAGGAAAGGCTGGATTTTGAAAGACCAGTTCAGAGACTGTGGTATAGAGAATAATAAGGCCTCTCCAGGGTAAGAGCATGTGAATGGAGAGAAGGAAGGGCAGCCCAGCTAAGAGAGCTGTAGGAAGTAGCACAGGGAGCAGAGAACAGTGTCACAGAAGCCAGAGGTTGTAAAGCTTTATAGAAATGCTCCATGCTACGGAGAAGCCCAGGAACACACTCGTAGAGAAAACGCCACTGTGGGAGGTTGCCGGGACTGGGGGTGGGGCCGTGCAGGGTCCTTTGCTACAAAAGAGGGTGTGGCCACCCTCAAGACTCCTCTCAAGCTCCCAGGTGAGTCTGCATGTGGTTCTCAGAGTGGTGGCCCCTCCGCCTGACCGCCAGAGCCAGCCTGTCTTAGAGGGACATGTAGTGGGCTCAGCCATCAGGCAGCACCTGTTAAATTCAGCTACATGGCAGGTAATTCTGACAAATAAGCTTATATAGGAGAGAAGAAAATTAAGGGAAAAGAGTCATGGAAACTTGCTCCAGGAGGGAACTGCATATACTAGTACTTGGGGTACTGAGGATACACAATGCTTCAAGCTGGGCCTTTTGGGATGGGGTACTGAATGAGTACCTCCAGACTAGAGCAGTGGTGGTCAGAATTCTGGTGGTCAGAATTGTTACACACACACACCCACACACACACTGGTGGGGAGAATGGACCCTTCATTCTCTGTTCTTTCACTAATGTAGGCACAGGCATTGTTGTTTACATTCTCTAAGAGTCTATGCCCTTCAACAGGAGGTCATTGGAGTGGTCTCCGACCCTTCTTCTGCTCGGTGGTCCCTTTGAGCCTGTCTTGGCTCCCTCTTGTGGAGGGGCAGCGTACAAGGGATAGGGCTGAACATCCAATAAGTGTTCACTACATTGTCAAGTGTCAACAGCTTTCATTTCACTTTATAAGATGCACTTAATTTTTCTCACATTGGCACTTTTTACTCTCTACATGATATGTTCAGTTCACAGAAAAGCCAGATTACACCTGATGAGTATTAAAAAAAGAATCATAATTTAAATTGTCCTCCTGTCCTTTGTGCATCGTTGGGGGAGGGAGTGTTGGATGCATACCCATAGAAAAGCCCCTACAAAGCAGCAAACCCTTCGGTGAGATTTCAGCCTTAATGAAGGTCTCTGGTGACATATTCATGTTCTTTGTTGTTTTTCCCAATTACCAGGGTGACAACTGCACTCTATATACCAGAACATCAACTTGTCACTATTGTATCTGTGATTAAAGAATGGTTTTATTTGTTTCGTCCGAGTTTTAAATTCTTAAATATCTTCCTGTTCCATTAAATAATTACAAACAGTATATAATACTGTGAACAGTCAGGTTTATTCTCCATAGATATTGGATATTAACACCCCCAAGATATTTTATGAACCACATAAAGAATGCCTTTATACGTGCACAATAATTGTAATCCTCTCGGCATTATCAGACCATTAATAAAGCCATGTGATTTTTTTTTTTACAGTCAGCCATTGAGAAATTAACCCATGATTATCTAAACTTGTTTCACTTCCCACCGCTAATTAAGGTAAGCAAGGTTCTTTTCTTACTGAGAATATGCTTTTATCGACATATGCACCTGCCACCTCCACACCTAAGTTTGCCAATGTCGGGAACTGTTGTTTGAAGTGAAATTTAATCATATCTGTCCAACAAAAGGCCCTTTGAGTGAAGCTCAGGATGTGTTTAAATTGAACACCTTATTCCCCGATAGTTGAAACATTAACAATGCATTCATGATAAGAACCACACATGTCACCTTAGTGGCTACCAGCCTCTGGCCTCACGCCTGGCTCTGGAGACCTTTGCCTGACCCATAAGCCACTGAAGGAATTCACATGCCTGAGCTCAGGATGCTCACTTACATTTTGGGGTGGGAGGCCTATTGTTTGGGCAGCATATTTGTATATGTGACATATTCTTTTGAATAAAGTCTACAGGTATATGATATACTTTGTTATTAAATAAGTCGATACTTGCTCTTTTTTTTAGATTTTTAAATTTTTTTATTTTAAGAAAATACAGAGCTGGGGATAATTTTACTTCTACTGTGGTCGATATAATAGATCTTTGAAAACCTAAGTAAGCTTACTGACTGCCAATCTTTCTCATTATTTAACTGTGCTTAATTTTCACACTCTCAGTTGTTTTTATGGCTTATATTCTCACTGAACCAGTTTTTGACATCCTTTAAAATGACTGAAAGACAAAGGTCTCCAATATCTATGAAATAAGTAAATGCATATTAATAAGAACACTTACTCCTTTCAGGGAAAAACAAACAAACAAACAAACAAACAAAAAAACATTAGTGACTTGTTCCTCAATTGTCTATGTATCACTTAAGAAAATTCACTTGGGAATTTTTGTTTCCATTTTGATAGCAAATATCATACTTCTGAGAAGCCATTCACCAGTCTTAAGCCCTAAACTCACATCCCATATCTTAATCTCCAGACACTTGCTCTTAATACACAGAAGTCTTCTCATTCATTAACAAGTATGGTTTTCCATCTCTAAGCCCTAGAAGGCTCATTTGTTCCTCTGTTTGGTCCTCCATCCGCTTATGCTCTCGGAACCGCTAATTCCTCTTTGGAAAGAGTTTGTAAATATTTTGAGTGCTGTGAAACGCTCAAGGTAAAAGTCTCTCAGTGCGTCTCCAGGTGCTTGGTGCATTTCTGGGGTAAAATTACACAATGAAAGAAGCGCCGTGAAAAATGTAAGCTGGTGACCTTCAACCTGGAGCATGTCAGATAAATCATTCGGGAAAGTTCTCAAAAGCTTAAGATGTCATTCTATTGCTTTACGTAATTGTAATTTGAAGCTTATTCCAAAAAATAACCAAAAGTTTAAAAATACGTTAGAATGGAACAACTGGTGCTGAGAATCATCTCTTTTACATGAGAAGGAAAAGTGAGGATTCTATCTGGAATAAATGGTGTTTTGTTTTCTGTTTTAGGACTCAGTTGGTGAACCTGAAGAAAATGAGGAAAAAATAGTGAACCTTGAACTTGTTTTTGGTTTTCACTTGAAGCCAGAAACAGGCCCAAAGGTAAATTGCATTTTAAGTTGTTTGGATAAATTTAAACCTCATGTATTTTCTTCTCTCCTGGTATTCTGTGGTTTTATATACCCACCCCTTCCAGCGGTGACCTGACTCTAAATAAATTTATAGACTATAAAATAGACTTTAGTTGAAACTCTGCCAGGTGCCTCTGTAATCCCATCTAGGAACCTGACTCTCTCGCCACCCAAACCTTCAAGGAAACAGTAAAGCGTGGACAGGGAGGGGTGAATACGGACTGAGAGCTTATGCCTCTTTGCATCACAGCTGCTTGTTTCCTGTCCCCTAAGGGGAAGCAATTTTTAATATTACGAGTAAAACAACGCTGAGAATGGAACAGTAGGCAACATGGAAACTCAAATTATCAGCTCTAAGTAGGGCAGCAGGACATTTGACCAAGATTCGTTCAGGCAGGCTTTCACCCAGGCAGCATATGAATTGGAATCATAACAGGATTGTGTGACTTTGGATTCCCACAGATAACTAGCAATAATGATACCTTCTAATTGAGCACATAGGACGTTCCAGGTATGCAGCCCTGAGTGTTGATGTTGTTTTCACCCATTTACAAATGGGGAAACTGAGGCTCTGGAAGATAAAATAACTTGTCCAAGGGTTAGATGGCTAGCAATTAGCAGAATAAGGATGTGAATGCAGGCCTCTCAGACGCCAGAACCAAGCTTTTAACTACTGCACGATTTGTACCTTTCCTTGGAGGCAGCCAGAGATCTTGTACATAAATGCAGCTCCTCTAAGCATGTCAAACTCAGGACTGGCAGGCCACAAGGGATGCATGCGGCCCAGCCGTGAGTTTGACATGCTTGCTAGCCAGTTCTGGTAGGGCTGGTGTCAGCCCACTGGCTCTTCACTAATTAAGGGAGGCTGACCCAGGCCATACCTGGAACTAGTGCTTGGGAATGAATCAAAATTGTTGCAAAGGGTTGAAATTTCACCAGGGACTTCCAAAGATGCTCTTTCTAGACACCTGACAGTGTCTTTCCTGCGCTGCTGCAGCTGTATTGATGCGTTTGCTGAAGGGAAATATTTACTTCCCTAATTGAGCCACATAACTTGGTGGAGTGGGGGCTGCTCTCTCTCCAGGTGTCCTGTCTTTGAATATTTTTCTTCTCCCTCTGCAAATGGGCCATTGTCTACTTATGCCTGTTGTTAGAAACAGCCACAGAAAGGGGGAAGGACAGGAAGTTCCTCTCTCTCCAACAGCAAGCACAGCACCTTCTAACCCTGAGACTGTAGCGGTGAGCACCTTTGAGCCATCTCATGTTAAACAAGTTGCACATTTTAATTTGCCTTGTTTAGTATCCTCGGCCTCATGGCACTTAATTGATGGGTATTCGGTGTTTAAATGTTTTTATGGCTTGTAGATGATAAAAGAAGAGGAAAGAACTTTCTTGAAACAGACTTAGTCAAGGGTGGTCTCAACCAAGAAAATAATTTTCAACTAACAAAGAAATGACTTGTTAATGTGGAAAACTAGAGAATGATTGCTTAGTAAATATTAGAAACTATAAATGACATTTGATACCAAATGCAGCGGTCTGTTTTTGACCATAATTGTGTAGACTTCTTGAGCCATTGGTTACTCACAAAGCCTAAAATCACCACAACCTTTGATATTCTGCTGGTCCTTGGTCACCTGCATGGAGGAATTTCCCCTATTCATTCAGCACACATTTACTGAGGACTTCCAGTGTGCCTGGCTCTAGGCTAAATACTCAGGCCCCTTACATCATACAAAGTCAAAAACACAGTTACGGCTTGCAAGGAGCCAATAGCTTATCAAGCTGTGGCAGTGCAGTGCCATGGGTTCAAGGACACTCTGAGACGGGCTTGAACAGTCTTTGTCACCAGCTGGAGATGGGTGCGTGGAAGGGAGGAGCTGGGATGGTACCAAAGATCTAATGTGGCAGCAGGACAGGTGTCATAGTGTAATAGGTCAAAAGGTGAAAGTCAATGTGGGTGTAATGCCAAGGTGCTAATAGTATAAAGAAGCAACTGAAATGGGTGAGTGAAACCAGGAAAAGCTTTTTTGGAAGGGATGAATTTTGAAACAGGCCTGAAATAACTCCCTGAATATACTGTTTTAAAGCTTATGCTTAGAGAGTATTTCTTTCTAAAGAGCGAAGGTTATTTCATAAATGCCATCTCATTTATCCCCCTGGCATTTCTGTGAGAAATACTGGGGGAACTGAGGAAGGGAGAGGTCAAGTTTTTCATCCAGAGACCCCCACCTAGTAAGGGGCAGAACCATATTGTCATACTGTCTCTTTTTGGAAGTATCATCATCCCCCTAGTATATTAGTAATAAAAAAGCAAAAATTGTTGGTCAGTTAATACTAAATTGCCACTTCGTTTTGTAAAGAAAGTGCCTTGTGTTTTGCAATCTAAGGCCTTTTAAATATATATATATATATATATATGTGTGTGTTTTTATTGATTTCAGAGAGAGGGAAGGAGAGAGAGAAATATCAGTGTTGAGGGAGAATCATTGATTGGCTGCATCCTGCACATCCTACTGGAGATCAAGCCTGAAACCCAGGCATGTGCCCTGACCGGGAATCAAACCTTGACCTGTTCATGAGTGGACACTCAACCACTGGGCCACACCGTCTGGGTATTATCTAAGGCCTTTCACTTGGCACAAAGGAAAGGAGCTCCCAGAGTCCCAGGCAGCTTCACGCACTCCTCAGGGTAGCAACCATCCTTTTTCATTAAAAATATTCTGCTGCGTAGAGTGTACTATTATATCTGTAAGAAACTCACCAGCCAGGAATATTGATTCTCAAATTGCCAAGGAATAAACTATCAAATCACCCAGCAGTTTTCTCACTAGGATCTTTCTGAGACTTCATGCCATAAAAATTCAAAAGCAGAGTTACGAAGGACTAGCGATTCATTCCTTGTTGGCAGTCACACACTTGGTCCCTTCCCATCCTGATGTCCTCCTTTTCCCAGGGAGGTGAGGACCCCTGACGGCGGCTGGGCTCCTGTGGGTAGATGTTGACTGCCTGCCATTAGAGAAGAGACTGGGGTTGGAAAAGCTTCACAAACAGCAGTGTCTCCCCCAACACTCGGCTTCAGAGGCCCTTCCGCACCCCAATCTGTCCCACCAGATGACCATCTCTTCTGGTTTCTTTTATATATATTTGTTTGTTTATTTTTTACAGAGAGGAAGGGAAAAGGATAGAGAGTTAGAAACATCGATGAGAGAAACATCCATCAGCTCCCTTCTGCACACCCCCCACTGGGGATGTGCCCGCAACCAAGGTTCATGCCCCCAAATGGAATCGAACCCTTCAGTCCGCAGGCCAATGCTCTATCCACTGAGCCAAACCATTTAGGGCTCTTCTGGTTTCTTTTGAGCCGTATTTTGAAGGGGCCCATCAGAGAGAAGGTTTTTTCCTGTCCTCTCCCATGTCCTCTTTCCACACCGTAATTGTCCCCTTCTCCCACTCCACTCTCCGGTTCTTTCATCTATAGGTTAAAAAGCTGCTTTTTACAAATACTTCCCACTCACTATTGTGCTTTCAGGTCTTTATTAGATTGCTTTATAAAATGTTGCATTTAATAAACTTAATTGAATCTCCAGGCCCTTTCTCACGCACTATGAATATCAAAAACGGTCAAATAAGGCTTTTTTCTCCCATTGTGTAATTTTTGTAAATGGATAAACATGAATAAAATAACAGGGCACAAAGAAAAGGATTTTGTAAGGAAGTAAAAAGCCAACACCTTTTGTAAATTTCAGAACAGCTAAAACTAGCACCTTCTTTACTTTTATAGATCTTGCATTTATTAAAAATTCAGTGTAGGGAAATTTACTTCCATGTTCATTTATTTTGAGGGGTAAATATATGTACACACATGTTTGTGTGACCAAGTACATAAGCTTGCAGTGATAAGGTTCTATAGGAAACCACATTTTAATTGACAGCAAAGAACAAATTCAGTTTGGAATTTCACTACACGACATGCTGCTGATTTCTAATTAGAACGTGGAGATAGACTTCACATGGCTGTACAACTAAGTGGACCTGGGAGAGGTGCTCAGTTCATACTTGCCAGTGATGAGTGGAAATGGCATGCCAGAAAATGTCTAACAACTGGAAAAAGCAGCCTTCGTCGTGTTTGTAGATTTCTGTGGTTTAAATAAATACTCCCGCCATGGCCAAGTTCAAGTTACCAGACATCACTGAACTTGGAGCCAGAGAGAGATGTGAGCCCTCATGCCATGAGAGCTGGCTCCAGCACACCATTGCATCCCTCTTGGTCTTCTTAGTCAAGATTCTGAATTCCTTTTAAAATAGCTAATAGCAAGGATCTCGTGAAAAGACTTTGGTCTGAACAGGTTAAAAATATATTGTCGCTGGTTTCCAGCTGTAATTATATGCAGAGTTAGTTCAAAGGGAGCTCAAGCCTCCCAATGACTCCATTGTTGGCTTAGGTCACCTTGAGTTGCACTGGCTCATACAGATGCACTAATCATATTGTATGGACCAAAGATTAGGATTTGAGTTTGTATTCATGGAAATACTTATGGATATAAACAAAATTTTAATTTGTGATTGTTTTTAAGATGTTGGAACAGTTGTAGTTGTTGACTCCAGGATGTTGATAATAGTAGAGAAGATGTCTGCTTTTAAACATAGGTTTCCCAAAGCTTCTGGGGCTCATTGAAAGTTCGGCAGAGAGAAGACTTCAGTAACTCACAGTGACCTGTGTTTTCTGATCCAACAATTAATAGTCAGCTATAAGAGGGAGAGATGGTTTGAAATGAAATTAACTGCAGCATATTGTAAAAGCAAAGATGTATGACAACTGTGTCAACTGTGGACATTAGGATTTGGACTGAGAATAGCTCAACTGGTAAACCATTAAGTAGGCTAGTGGTTCTTTAAATTACATTTCTTGGCCTAGCCAGTTTGGCTCAGTGGCCTGCAGACTGAAGGGTCCCAGGTTCTATTCTGGTC